TCTCTTGTGGGCTTCTTCATAAGTTAAAGAAAAGAAAATTAAACTTTTAAACAACAGAAAAATGTTCAGAAATCTTTATATCGCCTGTTTCTAGTAACTGATTGGCTGTTTTTGACTCAATTTTGTTAAGAGACAAATGGCTCAAAAATCTGAACATTCAGGGATGAACTACCAGCTTTCGTCTAAATGAGGAGATATTCACTCAGATTATTAAGACAATAAATTATGACTTACTTTAATGACAAACTCCATAGCAGCTTGTATATTTAGATTTTTTGGGGTCAGAACTTTTCAGCAAACATTTAGCTGTTTTAACAAAAAAATGGACATTTAAGGATAGATAATATATACGCAAAAAATATCCACACAAATGGGTTACTATATAAAAAGAAGGTAATATTTATTAATAATCTTTAAAGCAACTGTTATTTTTCATTAAAACAAGTTGAGAAAAAAACTGTCAAATCCAAGACCTTTGTGAATCTTGTTTGTCCTAAACGAAACATAAAAATGATTACACAAGCAAACACTAAGAATACATATCTAAATGAGTCCATAAAATATGGCTACATTTCTTCAAAATATTTCTATAAACTCATAAATAAAGGCCTTTTTATGCACATTTTTCCATTAACCGATTAACTGTTTCAGTAAGTTCCAGCAAAATGAGTCAAAAACACAAACACTCACAGATAAACTCCTTACATCTAATTTGTCCAGACCCAAACCAAAGACGTATTTTGCAAGCAAACGCTGCATAAGTAATCACACAGCAAAAATTAATCTAGAAAAACATGGCTAAATTTCTTCAAAATATCTGTAGAAACAAACAAGGAAAGGCTGTTTTTTCCATCATTTTTTCTTTCTGACAACCGATCGGCTGTTTTTCACCCAAGATCCAGTAAAACAAGTCAAGAATTCAAACACTTACAGATGAACTTCTTACATCTTATTTGTCCAGACCCAAATGTATAAATGAATAAATTTAAACACAAGCAAGCACTAAGTAAGTATCCACACAGATGAATTAATACATAAAAAACATGGTTATATTTATTCATAATCTCCATAGCAACTCGTTGGCTGGCCCAGACAAGAGCTGAGAGGGGGGGAAATATCATTATACAATAATTAGACTTCCATCYGCTTTCCCATTACAAAACAAGAACTATTCTATGTATTTACATCTGAAAATGTCAATCCCATTCAGTATCACAGCATGATTTGCAAGTCATGCAGCTTGAAAGACCCGTCAAGGSAGAGGATAAAAGGCAAAAAAGCAAAGAGGTTTGCCTCTTTACAAGTCTGTCCAGAACAAGGAAAGAAGAAAATGTACCGTACGTGGTACGAGATGGGGGGAAACTACACTCAACAGGCTTGGAGCCGCTACAAACGGGTGGACAGCAGTGAGAAGAAGAACGGCTTCGGTTTGAGGTTGTTTTCTTGTGGTTTTCATGGTAAGTRCCCTCCGTTCTCCGCTCATGTTCTCATTTCTACCCTTGAAACATTTGCCCTGGTTTGTTTGGAGTTTCTTTCTGGTAAAAGACAAAAAAAAACTGGAAAGACTTTGAACTGGTCCAACTGCACCCCAAYAGAGAGGTCATGTTTTAGGAGCAACACATCCTCTCGAACACTGGGTGGTGGAACAATTGCGTGTCCTCGGGATCTTTGGACTCCATTTGCATTGGCAACAGGTAGTGGGGCTCTCAACGGGGGGCCCCCGGATGTCTGTTTAGAAATTCATCTGCTCCTTCACATCAGAGATCTCCAGCGGGCTCAACAAGGGAGAACACAGAGGGGGTAGGTGTAGCGGGGGGACAAAAGTGTTAGAGTGCTTTTTGTTGACAGGCTCCAACAACTTATCGTGATCCTTCATTGCCGCGTTTGATGGACATCTGAGCACCACTTGTGAAAAAACATGGGGGATGGTGAGGAGAGGACTGGTGTGGTGGTGAGGAGGTGGGGGGGTGGGGGAGGACAGGGTGGGGTGTCAACGCCAGGACTGATGGAGTGTGCGCTAAAAAGCACTGTATTGAAAAAAATAAACAAATCAGAAACAATTATGTGTGAACTCTCATGGAATATTCATTGGCGAGCAGCCTTTTTGCATGACAAGCCATCACTCCACCTCCGGTCCATTTTTTTTTTTTTTTTGTTCCTCCTCTCGATGTCCTGCACACATGGAGATGTGCCTGCCACTTAAATCAAATTAGTCATTAGCAAATTGAATCAACAATTAGAGCAAGAGAGCTACATGAAATTAGCGTCAGCTCAGTCATATTTGTCAACCTATCAGGGCAACCTCTGGAGTAGTTTTTCCTGCGGTCTAAACTCCTCTCCGGTGCGTCCAAAGTCAGGGCTGTAGCTCAGGGCGAAAGGCCCATCGCTCTTCTGCCAGGGTCACCTAGCATCACTTCACTTATTTCATTTATTTTGCCAAACTGCATTTGTTTKGTCTGACGGCTCTGGTGGCTGCCCCGGTTCCCTCTCTTTCCGCCTCTTCTGGATTATTTGTATCGACGTTTCTCACTCCTCTCCAACACAGCTTTTAGTTGGAGGCTGTCAAAAACATTGCTGGCAGAAATGGAAGTATCCTCATTATGCAAATGCCGCCTTCCACTGATGGCATGTTCTGTTTTTATAAATTGCATTCCCCCTTGTCAGGAGTCAAATTGTATTTGAGCAACTTCAGAGAAATTGTCACTAAGATTTCAATTTGGTTTGCCGGCGATGCCACCATCAATTTAGTCAGAATAAACACGGACATCTGTTTGTTTCTTTGCAAACAGCAACATTTATTTGGCTGTTCTTCACAATCCCATTATTGTGTAAGTACAGCTAGGGTGCAAAAGTATAGAAAACAATAAATAAAAAAAATTGTTCAATTAAATTCATTCCAAACGCAGATTTCAGTTAAATAAAATATGATAAACAGCGGCGCTTAGTGTATATTTTTAAATGCCTTTCTGCACAAACTTTGAAGGGAGTTGACGGGGCGTCCTCTAAGGAAATATTAATAATCGTGTTTCATTAGAAGTAACAAGATAACTCGTTTAGAAKTGATCTTCTGTAACCTGCATGAACAACTCGGTAATTGCTGAATTGCTTTTGTATCTAATTTGTAGGTTTTCTCGCAGGCTTCTTTTGCAGAGACAAACTTTATGAATAAAAACCTTGTTGCGGCTTTGAACTCTCATCTCAAATAAACCCTACTGTAACTTTTTAAATGCCAGAATAAATATCAAACATCCACCTTTTCCATGATGCATTCTCTAAATGTCGTTGTAAAGTCCGCAAATCCTTTTTCAGTCTTTAATCTTCCCAATAAAAACATYCTTGAGGGTTTTTTTAATAACTGGATCAGTTTAGAAAATACTATTTGATATCATTTAAAAGGAGATGAACTTAGTAACCTTGGTCATATAGCAGAAACTAATGCTGAGTTTGCACTTTAAAACCTAGAAAAACAGCATCTTGGGTTCCAGTCTCCAAACARCTCTGTCAGCACGGGTCAATAGAAATCCGTTTTCTGGGATGCAATCGGAAAGAAAAACTTCCTTACCAAGTTTTTTCTGTAAATATATCCAAATAGCATCAAGGAATTGGGACTTTCTGGTTTCGTTGTGTTTGTTTATTTTCACCTACAAGAATCTCGAGGGTCTTCAAACCACAGGATCTTTTTTTTTAAACTTTGCTTCATATTCAGACCTGTGTTTAAGTGGCACTACATTCAAGCGCCCTCTCTTTGGAGAAAAAAAAATACACATCAAAGTGGCAAGACAAACTCTCAGTTCACTTCAAATTGGCCAAATACGACTCACTTGCCTCGTATCCTCCATCATTGTTACAGATGCCTTAAACCTGACAGCAACAAAAATTAATGACGCCTGGCTACCGACGCTGACAAGCCAAAGACAAAAAAAAAAGATTGGGAGGAGGGGGGGGGAAGGAAAAAAGTGAGAAAAAACGTCAGGGTCGATTTTAATATTCATGAATTTTCTACCAGCTCAGTTCAGCAGTTTCGATTAAGCATTAATTAGGAGCCAGAGGGGAAACCAAACAAAAATAAGGAGCTGAATGACTAATGAAGGTGGTGGAGATGTGGGTAGGCTTGCCACGCCGCTAATGGTATCGGCATTATGGGTGCTACATGGGCAGGAGTGCCAGCGATGTGGGCGGCTAGACGCACCTCTGCCCACACCAGAGCTCACACTCGGGAAGAGAAAAAAAACACACACACACTCTCTGGCCATGTACGAATAACACTCGCCTGAAAACAGCAAGCAACCACTGCTTCCTCTCGTGGATGCTTTCTGGAGAGAAAAAAATATATAATTAAATAAAATAAAAGCTCCACATTTAGGAGAGGAGGAGGGGTTCACGTGTGTTGGTTGAACGCTTACACACTCCTCTGGGTGATGGAGGATTTTTGCAACCCTGAAACATTTTCCAAAGCAGCTGGACAAACTTAAAAACTTTCAGTCTGTGTACAACATTTTTATGTCCGTTAAACTGCTGTGATACGTGTTGTGCAACTGATTTAAGATGAACACACTTTTTTGCAACATAAATGTACAGTAGATCAAAAYAGAAAGAATGAAGGTAGTCGTATTTTGAAGGACAATATTCCTAAATTCTTATTTTCATGTATTTTAGTGCTTAAATACAGTTTTGCATGAATTAAATCCAAAATCTTTTAATTTAAAGAACCAAAACCGGCTTTAAAGAGATTTAATGGACATGTAAGTCTCTGCTTCATTACAATTTTACTGCTTAATATAAATTTAAGACAAATAGTAAAGTGTTAATTTTCTAAKCTAGTCCAACCTGGAAAGCAATTTTAAAGAAAAGTATTTGTCTTTAGTTTTTTGCATTTAGTTTTATCATGAATTAGTATCATTATACAATGGTCAGTACATAATTACTAGTTAAAACATCATAAATTTTGTAATATTTTGCGTCCTTTTAAAAAAAATGCAGAAGAAAATAATAATAAATTGAATTTCTCGACCTTTATTATTATTAAGCAAAAAAAAAGTTTAAAATTTTGCTTTTAAAAATAACTAAAAAATTCGGACAATTTACCAATAAGCTTATAAAGGTTTCAAAATAATTCAACGTCTTTTCATTTTCACCCCATCAAACAAAAATGTTTTTTGCTTACAAAAATAACACTATTGCTGGTTTTGATCCTGTTTGCAGTGTGTATAATCTCTGAATATTTAATACAAAAATTCCAATTATTTTTATTTAATATTATAATAAAACTGTATTATTGTTTCAATAAAGGACAAAACTGCCCATGGGTTTTATTCAGTCTGTCACAACTAATATGAGGGTTAATTATCAGTGTACTTCATGCATTTACAAAATTACAATGTATATGTATGACTGCTCTGGAGTTGAATATATTGGTTAAATATGAATAAAGAGCATAAATATGAATTTGGAATAAAATTTTCATTCATTATTGTCACATCTCCAAAATGTCAGCTAGGGCAAAATTTGCATCCTATAAATATTTTTATCTTAATTATTTTTCTTTTCTTTAAAATAACAAAGTGAGAACTCGTACGATGTTGTATTCCTACTGGTTTTTATTTGTAATGGGTAGACAATTACATATATAACCTGCAGGATCAGAGGAAGAGTACAGAAGAGGGAAGAAAAATGGTTATATTTCCTTTTATCTGTTTGAGAAAGGGCTTTAGAGTCTCCTCTCCCAGTAAAACAAGGATAAAGGTAACAGAGGGGGAAAAAATAAATGATATTGTTACAGAGGAATTATCTTTAAGCCTGCCCATGATATTTGAATTGTATTGGTGAATTGTAATCAGGTATTTTAGCTTAGCTCTCCGTGTTGAACGCCTACCATCTGGTATTGGACAACACTGTGACAGACAGAGGGCTGGAAAAAGAGGAAGAGGAGGAGGGGGGAGACTGAGAGGCAGAGAGAAAGACCTTATCCAGCTGAAAAGCCTGGCGACTTTAGTTTCCCAATCTCTAAATCTACACATTGTAATGTAAGTCCACAGACAGGAAGCCCAGAGCAAACAGTGTTTGTATGAGCAGATATAGGCTGGAGATCCCTTCCAATCATGAGGCGATGTTTGGGGCTTTGTTCACTCCGGGTAGGTGATGAAGGGGGGAGACGGAGCGAGTTGTTAAATTATTGGGGTTTTTAGACATCTTTAAGCCTCCAATATGATTCAGTTTTATTGTTTTGTTTGCATAAATCCTAACCTGAGATAATATCATGTGTTGAGGAACAAACACTATGATGGAGATGAGGATAAAGCAGCTTGCTAGTGCTTTTTTTAAAGTGTTTACTTGTTTTGTCCAATGAATGGGAAAAGATCTTTTAGGAAAAGATTGTAWACGACATATACGGGCTGCACGGTGGTAGAGCTCTCAGTAAGAAGGTTGCTGGTTTGAACCCTGGCCGGGGACATGCATG